CTCCCACCGCCCCGCCCCGGGCCAGAAGCGCACCGCCAGGCCTGGGCTGCCAGTGTGGGCGCGGGGCCATGGGTATCCTCCTCCTCCTCCTCCTCCTCCTCCTCCTCCTCCTCCTCCTCCTCCTCCTCCGATTCCTGCCCATCCTCCTCCCTGCTCCTTATAGATAAATCCTCCCTGTCGCACCACGAGACGCGTCGGTAGGGCGGGCCTGGCGTTTCGTCTCGTGGTAAGATCTCCTGAAACAGGTTAATAGTACTTCGAGTTCGCGCGCGCGCGTGGCGGCCCGTGGGGACCCCTGGGCGAAAAGTACCCTGGCCGATGCCCGACCGACTCCCCCAGGGCGCTCCAGGAGAGCGCCCAGAGGGCGCCGGAGCGCCCCCCGCAAGAGGCCCCGAGTCGCCGAAAGATCGCTCCAAGACGCTCAAGATGGTCTTCAGGTGGCCCCAGAGGCCGCGAAAAAAAAGCCCCAAGGGAGCCTCAAGAGGCTCTCCAAGAGGGCCCCAACAAGCACAAATCGTCCCATTCCCTTCGGGAAACGTACACTTTTCGCATGTACGACGTGCACAGCGTCCAGAACTGCCCCAGAGACTTCCAACATTGTCCCCAAACGGCCCAACACGTCCCAAAGATGGGCACAAGAGAGCCCAAGAGGGCCCCAAGACGACCCAAGAGGCGCCCAAGACGGCCCAAGACAGCTCCAAGAGGGGCCCAAGAGGGGGAACACCAACCACCAACTCGAGCCTTCTGCCCCAAGAGGTCCCCAGGAGGCCTCCAGAGGCCCACAAGAGAGCCCAGGAGGCCCCCTGGAGGCCCCACGAGGCCCCCAAAAGGATCAAAAAGAGGCCCCAAGAGGCCCCCAAACGGCCCCCCAAAGGCCCCAAGAGGCCACGAACGCGCAGACACACGCCTGCGATGGCACAATACAGGCCGGCGGAATGAGCGAAGCGACTAAATCAATCATTCCTGTCGCACCACGAGACGAGTCGGTAGGGCGGGCCTGGCGTTTCGCCTGTGACTTCTACACAATGCATGATCCTGAAACTGAAACTGTGCTATAGCTTCACGGATGGAGGGTGGGCGGTTTTCAAACTGCGGTTCTCGCATAAAGCGCGGCGCAAATTCGTCTTCAAAGCTTGCAGCCGCTTCACGGACGGGCGGCGGGCCGCTTGCAAAGTGCGCTTCTCGCCTGAGCGCCGCATGCATTCGCCTTTATAAGGTTTCCAGCAGCTTCACGGATGGAGGGCGGGTCGTTTTCAGAGTAGGGCTCTCGCTGCAGCGCCCCGCGCATCGTTTTCAAAGCTTGCCAGAGCTTCACGGATGGAGGGCAGCTCCATTTCTCGGGAGCGGCCAAGAGGGGGGTGTCCAAGAGGAGGGGTGCAAATCATGACTGGCGGCATGTGCGCGGCCCAGCGGGGGGGGGGGCCAGGGACGTAATGAAATAAGAAGAGGCGCCATGAAATCGGGGGAAATATCATGGCCCCCGCCATAATATCCACCCCCCCCTAGTCATCACCCCCCTCTTTGCCGCCCCCGAATTTCGAAATGGTGTCCTCGCCGGAGCGCCGCGCACAGTCGTCTTCAAAGCTCGCGGCAGCTCCGCGGATGGACGGCGGCTCGTTTACAAGATGCTGTTCTTGTCTTAGCGCTGCGCACACTCGTTGTCAATTACACAACAGCTTCAAACATGCTGATGGCTGACGTCCCAGACATGCTGACTTGGCACGATCTACATGTGTCCAGGCACAATGATAAGGTTGTTTCGCAATGCTGCTTCGCGGTGCTGACGTCCCAGAAATGGCCTGGCACGATTCGGGAGCGTCAGGGCGCAACCGTCAGGTTGATTTGCGACGCAGAACGCCCAAGAATTGTGTTTTGACAGAGTTGATGAGTTTACGACGGCTGTCTTCCAACAGGGTGCTTCCCGCCGTGAAATTAAATCCTCGTAGAAACCTATGGATTAAAAAAGGAACTTCGATGGGGGGCATTGCAACATCATTGATGAATCTTGGGTTTACACTGGCCCTCCTCCTCCTCCTCCTCCTCCTCCTCCTCCTTTTCCTCCTCTACCAGGCTCCACCAGGACTTGGTCCAGAGGAAGCGTCTCCGCAGTCGGCGGGCCCTAACGCCACCCTGGCCCAAGCCCTGCAAGGTGAGCTGCATCTCGACGGCTCCTCTTCCAAGGCCAGTCCTAAACGTTAATGCGGGATGACGATTCATACAAAAATGGGAGAGAACGATTAGAAAAATAGTTTTCTGCTATTTCTGCACAACTCTCCGACTGGAGGAAAACGCTTTTAAAAATGGTTGTCCAGCCCGCGGCCGTATTTTTCGAATCGTCATCCCGGGCGCCGCCGCGTGCACACGACCCCCGGTCATTTATTAATCGTCACCCTCCGTTACCATCGGGCTCGATGGGCTGCGGCACCTCTCGATACGATTTAAAAATAGTTGTCCAGCCCGCGGCCGTATCTTTCTAATCCTCATCCCGGGCGCCGCCGCGTGCACACGACCCCCGGTCGTTTATTCATCGTCACCCTCCGTTACCATCGGGCTCGATGGGCTGCGGCACCTCTCCATCTCCCAATCACGGGCGAGGCCCCCGCGGCCGCTGCGGGCCCCGCGGGGCGTGGACGCCCACGAGCGAGCGCCGGCTCCGGCATGCCTGGCTGCGCTCACGGCAGTCTGATCCGGCACAAGCACTACGGCGTTACAGTCGGGGCGTTGACCTAAAGGAACCCCAAATAAGGAACGAGGCCCCTTTTCCCCATAAGTTAGAGTCCGATTCCCGATGGAAAGGCTGAGGAAAACCCAAGGCAGACCATGCAACAGTCAAGGAACACCGAGCCCCTCCCCAACGAAAAGGGTTCCTTCTTCAGCGCCCCGACTGTAGTTGTCGGGCACACTGGCACGCGCAAGCTGCACAAGCAAAGCCTTTCGCACAAGAGCTATACTACGCTGGAGTTAGGCTGCTCATTGGAGGCAGCCCAGGCTGACATGAAGGCATCAGCCCGATCAGAACCAAGTCGCACCAAGCTGTCGAGAACTTGGAGAGGCACTCCGAAGAACGGAGGACACGCCTCGGGCAACGCAGCGTCGGACAGATGGGCGAAATGGGCCGCCAACGAGGTCGCCCGCCCTTTCCGAGGACGAAGCGCAGCAGAAGAGGGCGGGTTTAGACTGCTGCGGCGCTTCCTTCGATGTGCTTGCGAGGTCTTGCCAAAGTGGCCTCCTGTCGCCTCCATGGCTCGGGGCAAGTCCCTGGCCCGACCGACCGAGTCAAGGCCCCCGCCCGTGGGGGCGGCTGCCGTCCCAGGCTCCAGGCCCGTGCCCCCCCCGTCCCCGTCCCCATGCGTCGTCCGGGGGTGCTGGGCGGGGGCCCACGTCTGCACGACTTAGACTTGGAGCCCGGGTGGGTGAGCATGCAAGCTGTGCAAGACCAAGGCTGTGACAGAGCACTCTAAGACTCATGCGCCGTCTGGGGGTGTTGGCGGGGGCCCACATCTGCACGACTGGACGTGGAGCCTGGGATGGGCGAGCATGCAAGCTGTGCAGAACCATAGCCTTGACAGACCACTCTAAGAAGCCAAGGCTGAAGGTGCACAGGCACTTCCCCTCAACAGACGCTCGCCGACGATCACCACGGCCACAGCCTTGTCGTAGCGGATCTTAAATTAGGCGAGCGCCGCCTCTCTCGGGATGGGGCTGCGACGGACGGGCAGAGACTGCCAAGGTTCTTACTGCGTGCTGATCTTCCCCCTCCTCCTCCTCCTCCTCCTCCTCCTCCTCCTCCTCCTCCTCCTCCTCCTCCTCCTCCTCCTCCTCCTCATGCTACTCCTCCTCCATCCATTGTTATGATCCACCACCGCGCGTGCTTTCCGAGGCTCTGTCGGCGCCTAGGCACGTCCTTGGCGCTGTCGACACGTACCCACCTGCGTACACCACCCCCTCCTCCGAGGCCACAATCCCTCGCAACATAATTACGACAGACTCCCGCTCCCGAGGCCCAGATGCCTCCAAGACGGCCCACGATCGCTCCAAGACGGGCCACTTTGGCCTCAAGACGGCCCAAGACGGCTTCAACACGGCCCACGAAGCCGCCGAGGCGCCTTCGAACCAGTAGTGACCCCCCCCCACGGTTTTCGAGGGGGGGGGGTTCGAACCAGTAGTGACCCCCCCCGGTTTTCTGGAGGGGTGGGGGGGTGTCGAACCGGTAGTGACCCCCTCCCCCCTTTTCATGATGGACTGGGGGGGGGGGTTCGAACCGGTAGTGACCCACCCACGGTTTTCGAGGAGGGGGGGATGGGTGAAGAACCCCCAGTGGCCCCCCCCCCCGGTTTTCCGCTAGCAGCGGTAGAACACGCTCTTTCCTATGTTCGCTCCTCCTCCTCCTCCTCCTCCTCCTCCTGCCCCTCCTTCCCCTCCCCCTCCAAGGAGGAGGAGGAGGAGGAGGAGGAGGAGGAGGAGCAGGGGCAGGAGCGGACGCAACAAGGAGGCGCGGAAGTGGGAGGAGGAGGAGCAGGAGGAGGCCCAGGCGAGGACGAGCAGGAGGAGGAGGAGGAGGAGGAGGAGCAGGAGGAGGAGGAGGAGGAGCAGGAGAAGGATGAGCGAGACAAGCAACAGCAGCAGGAGCATCATATGTTCGTTCCTCTTCCATCCTTCTCCTCGATCTGCCTTCCCTTGCCTGCTTACTTCTACCTGCACGTAAAACTACCTGCGCAGCCGGTGACCCCTGGAGCGGTGCTCCAAGGGCCACCTGGCTCTAGTTTTATGTCGGGCGTGTCCCCCTACAGGGGGATTCTCGACGAAGAACAAAAAATGCCCCAAAAATACCCCAAGAAGGACAACAAATATTCAAAAAATAGTCCCCAGACTATTTTCGGACTATTTTTTTAACTGTTTTGGGTTTTTTTTGTTTTTTTCGTCGAAAATCCCCCTGTAGAGGGACAGGCCCGACTAAAACTCTAGTTCGATCGACCCCCCCAGGGCCGACCGGCCCCGGGGGGCGGGAGGCTGCCAACGACGTCCTGTCCAGCCCACCGGGAGACCGGAACCAGCAGGAGCAGAAGTAGAGGAACAAACTAAGTGACATATACATAAAAGAGTGACATAAAGAGTGACATAAACATAAAAGAGGACATACGAGTGACATAAAGAGTGACATAAACATAAACATAAAAACTGAGTGACATAAACATAAACCCCCAGGACCGGACCAAAGAGTGGCATAAACATAAAAACTCGGAGGTCCGCGCGGATTTCTCGGATCGGCGCTGGAGGCCCCAGCGCCGATCCGAGAAATCCGCGCGGACCTCCGAGCTTTTATGCTTATGCCACTTTTTGTTCCCCTGAGAAGGGACAGGAGTAGCCGCAACGGGGAGGGGGAAGGGAGGATGCCCGCCCATCATCAGCGGAGCAGCCGCATAGTCTGACTCCACAGCGCGCTCTGCCACCGCACCCGCTGCACCTGATCGTCCAAGATCACGTGAGCGAGGAATGAAAATGTCTCACGCGAGAAGACATGTCGACCCTATGCCACGGCTTACGCGGTCCGCCAGCGCGGTACACCGCGTGGAGACGAGGGCATTTGCGCGCGACCTTGCGCAGGCAGCTTTCGCGCGAATGTCGGCGCAGGCGACCCCCTGATTTTTACGTGGCTAATGTAGGCGTTTTTCCCTACCTAGGCTCTGCCTAGAAGGGTTCTTACTCTGAGGCTCAAAAGGCCGGGCAGTGGAATGCGCCCCGGGCGATTCCCCCAGGATCCGCCCCGCGGTTCCCCCAGTGACGTTCCCTTAGCTTCGCGTTGCTTATCTCACCTTAGCTTAGCTTATTTCATCCTACCTTAGCTTAGCTTCATCTTACCTCAGTTTTATATTAGCTTAGCTTCATCTTAACTTAGCTTAGCTTCATACAAGTGTTTGATGTTGCTTTCCTAAATCCTCCAACTCCTAGGTAGGGTCGCACTGGGATAATTTTATTCTGGGTTTCAACGCTCACCCGAAGGGCGGGGGAGGGGAGGGGGCCCGGGTCTGGGCCGGTACTTCGTCGATCTGCCTGTGCCAGTCGCGCCGGCAGACTGGGAAGAAGGGTCCCGACTGGTCGCCAGAAGCAGCAGCCACAGGCAGACAACATCTGGTCTTTGTCGGGGAGACGTAAGACTCGGGTACGGGGGACTCGGGTTGGCCTGACGGGGGCCATCATAAAACTGACGAGACCCAATCTGAACTTTGACGCGGGCCCCCGCTGCAGACATCCACGAAAAAGTGTCGGCAAACCCGAGTTCCGGCTTACTCGACTCTCACGTTTCCCCGACTTTGGGAGGAAGGGAGGGGCCCGCGCCGATTCGGCGAAACGATAAATAAAAAACTGCGACTGCGTTTCGGTCGGGCATGTCCCCCTGCAGAGGAATCTTGGACGAAAAATACAAAATGGCCCAAAAAGACTCGTGGCCAAAGAATACCCCAACAATCGTCCCGCGACTATGTTTTGACTATTTGGGAATAGTTCTCCTGTAGAGGGACGTGCCCGACTTAAGACTACGGCAGGTTCGTGTCGTGCCGACCCCAGCGTTGGTTTTTGACACCGCAGGGATCGTTCAACCTTGAACGATCGGCCGCTGCCGCAACGTCCGATCGTTCAACATCGATCGATTCTGGGTCGCCGGCGGCGTTCAACCTTGAACGCCCGCGCTGGGGTCGCCGCTGGTCGACACGACGCAAACCTACCGTACGTGACTCGTGCTCTTCGAGTGCTCAGCGCCGCCACGGCGTCCACACGGGAGAGAGCACGAGAGACCTCTCGCCCCCGCGACCGGGCGGCCGGCAGAGAGCGCTAGGTGCTGGGCGCAGGGGCTGCGGGAAGACGCCGTTGCCGCCTCTGGGGGAAGGAGGCTCGAGGAGGAGGAGGGGAGGAGGAGGAGGAGGAGGAGGAGGAGGAGGAGGGAGGAGGAGGAGGAGGAGGAGGAGGAGGAGGAGGAGGAGGAGGAGAGGAGAGGGAGGAGGAGGAGGAGGAGGAGGAGGAGGAGGAGGAGGAGGAGGAGGAGGAGGAGGAGGAGGAGGAGGAGGAGTGGGTGGTCGGCGATCTTCTGACCCGGGTCAATCCAGACCCGGGCCAGTCAGGCCTTGCAAGATCCTGCAAGATCCTGCACCCAAACCCGGGTCAGTGCGAAGGAACCTGCAGGATCCTGCAGGATCCTGCACCCGGACCCGGGTCAATGCACCCCTGGCGCTGCAGGATCCTGCAAGATCCAAAGCTATGGCTGACCCCCGTTTGCATTGACCCCCGTCTCAAGGCTCCCAAGGTGGGGAGGCTCGGAGGTGGCCGGGGGGTCTGAACTGGTTTTGCCGCGCGAAAAACGGCATACGATAAACTCTTCCGCCGTCGGAGGCGCCTGCCCCCCGGACGGCTGGAAAGTGTATGCCCCCACGTGGCACCGCAGGGGCATAAACTTCGCAGCCGCCCGCCGTACAGGCCTCCCGAAGGGGGTCAAAGCAGATGGGGTTGGAGGATCGAGCCGCATCGACGATACATCGGCGGTGCATCGGCGATGCATCGTCGACGCCGGCGATGCGTCAGCGACGTCGGCGTGGAGAAGATCGGGCTCCACATCGAGCCGCATGTCCGATGCATCAGCGATGCGGCGCGGTCCACAGACCCCATCTACTCGGTACCCACTTGGGAGGCCTAGGAGGGGGTGGTGAGGGTTGGAGGTGGCCAGGGGGTCTGAACTAGTCGGGACCCCAGGAAATCGGTCAGGAGGAAACAGATGGGGCCGCATCCACCGAAAATCGGTCCCTGGACCCATCCCAGGCTCCACCTGGTGCAGAACAAGAACGAAAACAAACGAACAAACAAAAAACCTTCTGGACCCCAGAGCCTCGAGCCTGCCCCACCTTCCTGCTGGCCGGCACAGGCGCTGGGCCACCTCGGACCCCCCGATGGCTCCAAGGGGAGGGGGCCCCTCCTCCTACCCAGATCTCTAGCGACATGACTTTTCAAATCCTGGCGTGTTGATTTCATTGAAGGGGCCCCAGGACACAAATAAATACACACAAATAAACAGATTCCCCATCTTTTCCCATATGTTCTGGGTGTTTGTCTTTCCCCCACTTCCCATATTTCCCCATATCTTCTGGGGATCGACGAATAATTGTGTCTGTGTGGTTTTTCCCCTCCTGATTCATTTCGACCCCTGGGGCCCGTCAGCCGGCACCGGGGCAGCCAAGAACGGGTCCAGCACGGAAAGCTGCGCCACCAGGGGAGGGGCCGGGAGCCGAGGGGCCGCGGATGGAGGGAGTCGTGCCAGAGGGTGTCCGGGCTCCTCCCTCTCCCGCCCCTGTGCCTTGTGAGTGGCTCCTCCCTGTCGCACCTCCAGACGTCCCAGACATCGAGCGTCTCGAAAGATTCGGGACGGAGGTTGTTCATCGTTTTCGGCCTCTCGGGGCCCGCGCCGGTCCTCGGGACCGTCAAAAAACGGCTCGGGATGAAAAACTGGTCCCGGGGAAGTGGTCGGGAGGTCAGGGGCCCGTGTCTCGAAAAAATCGAGACGTCGGATGTCTGGGGTGCCAGGAAGGCGGGCTGGGCGTTTCCCCCGAGGCGTCCTCACCGCTCAGGATCGAGATCCGCAGCAGCGGTCACCGAGGGCCGTCGCGGGAGCCTCTCAGGGCCGCCTCGGGGCTCTCTCTCTGGGTCGAGGGGGTGTCTGGAGCTGTCTCGTGGGCGCCCCTGGGTCATCTCGGGGCCGCCTTGGGGAGCCTCTGGAGTCCTCTCGGGGCACTCTTGGGCCGCGTCGGGGCCATCTCGGAGCCCCTCAGAGGCTGTGAAGGGGCGCCTCTGGGGGCGGGGCCCGGGGCTCGCGCGGAGCCGGGGGGGGACGCAGCCGAAGGGAGGGGCGCGGTCGCACGGTCGGTCGGCCAGAGTCGAGGCACCGCAGCGCGAGGGGCCCAAGGGAGAGGGCGCCGGGGGGAGCGCAGGAGCCCGGCCTGGCGAGACAGCGGTGCTGACTACCTACCAGACCACCCAAACCCAACCCGAAGACCCGAATTTCGGGTTGGGGGGGGCGTATGGGCTCCATGTGTGTTTTTCGATGTTCCCAGACCCCCCCCCCCCTGGAAATGGAGGGCAGATGGACGCCTTCGGGTTGGGTTGGGGTGGTTTGGTGGGTGGTGAGGTGCAGTGCGCGGAGCCCGGGGGAGAGGCCGCGGGGCCGGGTTTGCAGGAGAGGGGGAGGGCGCGGTCGCACGGTCGGTCGGTCGGTCGGGGTGATGCAGCGCGAGGGGCCCGGGGAGGGGCGCCGGGGGGGGGGGGCGCGGGAAGGGGCGGTCGCACGGTCGGCGGGTCGAGCTGACGCCGTGCGTGATCACGCGGACAGGCATGCTCACCGGAAGAGCCAGGAAGGCGGAAGGGGGAGGGGCGTAGGAGGGCGCGGGCGAGAAGGAGTAGGCACAGCCCGAGGCGCACCGATGCATCCGAAGAGAGGCCAGAGTGCACGCACTCTGCAGGAAGGAGGGCCTCGCCACGATCGGGCAGTCGAGCGCGGGAACAGAGGCCCGACCGAAGATGGAGGAGCGGCGTGCCAGTGTTCAACGGCTGGAGGCGGGGGCACGGATCCGCCAAGACAAATTTTGGCATGAACGCCCTGACCACCCACCAGGAGGAGGAGGAGGGGGAGATGATAGATGAGAGGGGGGAGGAAGAAAAGGAGGCGCAGGACACAGACAGAGACGACGGACAAAGGGCGGTAGCAGGAGGAGGGAGGCGGAGGAGGATGAAGAGATGAAGGACGGTGACGAGGATGAGACGCGGGAGGACGGCGACGACGACAACGACGGCGACAACGACACCGACACTAAGAACGAGGAGGTAGGAGGAGAAGGGGAAGGAGTAGGAGGGAGGAGGAAAAGAGAGGAGGAGGAAGGGAGGGAGAGAGAAGGGAGGGAGAAGGGAGGGAGAAGGGAAGGACGGGGAAGCAAGGAAGGAGGCACGGAGACGAGGAAGAGGAGGGAGGAGGAGAAGGGGAAGGGGGGGGAAGGTGGAGACGACGAGGAGGAGGGAGGAGGGAAAGAGAGAGAGAGGAGGGAGAAGGAAGGGAGGGCGGGGAGGCAAGGAGGGAGACAGGGAAACAAGGAAGAGGATGAGGAGGGAGAGAAGGAGGAAGGAGACAGAGGAGGAAGGAGGAGAAGGAGGAGGGAGGCAAAGGGGAAATAGGAAGGAAGGGAGGGGAGAGGGAGAGGAAGGAAGGGAGGAGGGAGGAGGAGGAGGAGGAGGAGGAGAAGGAGGAGGAGGAGGAGGAGAAGGAGGCGCCTCCAGTGCCACCTCCGACGACGTAAATAGCACCAGCCATGACGGCCACCGCGCAGCCAGATCGCGCCTCGGGGCGCTTCAGAGTGCGACAAAGCGAGGAACGGCCGAAGACGCATGAGCGAACGTGGCATCGAGAGCAACTGGGACCAAGACATATGTTGTTGATCGCCCCTCCCTGGCGAGGCTCTGGCCTGTGCACAGACAGCCCACCTAGGTCGCCCAGGCTGGCCTCAACAGGCAGCAGTCCAGGGCGGTCCCGACACACCGGCGCCGCCAGAGGCGGCGCCGATGGGGCAGGCCGCGCCCCAGTCGGTGTGCTGAGACCGCCCCAGACTACTGGGGGGGCCTGTTGAGGCCAGCCGAAACTCCCTCGGGGGGGCTGTCGGTGCGCAGCCCTAAATCTTTCCACGCTGGTCGCTCTTCCCATCGAGGTTTCCTAACATCTCCACAAGCCTCCGGAGGCGTCAGGGGGAGTCCTGAGAACTCTGCGAACCTCTGGAGAAATCTTCGGCCTCCTCCTCCTCCTGCTCCTCGTCCTCCTCCGCCTCCTCCTCCTCCTGAAACTATTCCTCCTATACCTCCTCCTCCTCCTCCTCCTCCTCCTCCTCCTCGTCCTCCTCCTCCTCCTCCAACTCCTCCTCCTTCTCCTCCTCCACCTTCTCCTCCTCCTCCTCCTCCTCCTCCATATCGTTCTTAACATGGTTCTTAATTGTTCTTATTAATAATATAAACCATGTTCTCAATATTATTTCCAGTCTTACTATTATTGTTTGTCTCATTCCTACTGGCCATTTTGATACTACTCTTAATAATATTATTAGTATTCATCGAACTAGTCTCCGTAATATTATTGTGGTCATTGTTTCACCCTTTCCTCGCATTAGTATTACTATTATTAGTAGCATCAGCACTATTGCTATAAACCATAATACTAATAGCACGACTATTACTATTAGCGTTTGGATTACTACGACAACGAGTACAACTACGACTACGACTACGACTACGACTACTACTACTACTACGACTACTACTACTACTACTACTACTACTACTACTACTACTACTACTACTACTACTACTACTACTACTACTACTACTACTACTACTACTACTACACTACTACTACTACTACTACTACTACTACTACTACTACTACTACTACTACTACTACTACTACTACACTACTACTACTACTACTACTACTACTACTACTACTACTACTACTACTACAACTACTACTACTACTACTACTACTACTACTACTACTACTACTACTACTACTACTACTACTACTACTACTACTACTACTACTGCTACTACTACTAGTTCTAGGAGTATTCTTTGTATTACGATTAGTACGAATAAATGATCGTACTAGCCTTGGTCCGATTATTTTCAGTATGAGTGTTCATATACTTCAAATTCTCATTACTAAATGTATCGTTACCATTAGATACCACTGGTCTGTTATTAGCACCACTAGAATTAGTCATACGATTACGAGTGGAATCGATATTACCGGAAGCATATTGTTGTCGCTTCGCGAATCCCCACCAGCCCATCCAGAAACGATGCCCAGAGGAATTGCCTCGATCAGAGAAGTGGGCAGCACACAGAGGAAGCCATTATGAGACATCTTGGGATATCTTGAGCCATCTTGGAGGTCATTTTGGGCTCTCCCAGACGCTCTTGGAGTCATCTTAATCCGTGCCCCCCCCCAAGAGGCCTCCATGTGGCTAAAACCTGTGTAGAATCAATGATTAGGCATTCTCGCCGAGGCCTCTTGGAGCATCTTGGGTGCATCTGGGGGGGCTCTTGGGGCCTCTTGGGGGTCTCTTGGGGGCCTCCGGGGGGCCTCTTGGGGGCCTCTTGGGGCCATTTTGGGGCCATCTTGGGACCTCTTGGGGCTTCCTGGGCGCTTCTTGGGGCCATCTTGGAGGAGATCGATCAAACAAGAGGGGGGGTTTAATTAGCGTCCCCCCTCGGAAGCCCCTAAAATCGCCTCTTGGACCCCTCTTGGAACGCTCTTGGAGTGCTCTTGGGCGCTCTTGGGGCCGTCTTGGGGCTCTTTTGGGGCTCTCTTGGGGCCCTCTTGGGCCATCTTGGAGCCATCTCCAGGCCTCGGATGGCCATCGGAAGCGAAAAGGCGAGAAAGCAAAAATCATTGATTTTCCTTAGGTTTTGGGACGATTTTGGCCTCTTCGGGGCCTCCTTGGGGAGCTGTTTGGCCACTTGGAGTTATCTTGGGGCCGTCTTTGGGCTTCTTGGAACCATCTTAGGAGCCATCTCGAGCGATCTTGCGCTATCTTGAGCCATCTTGGAGCTCATCTTGGGTTCTCTGAGGCGCTCTTGGAGCCGTCTTGGGCCATCTGGGACGCTCTAACTACCCGCGGCCCCCCCCGTCCAGGTCCAGGGGAGGGGGTAGGGGGAGGGGTAAACCCCTCCCCAAGGGGGAAGAGGGAGGGGTGGAAGAGGATCTGCTCTAGACCACCTACGCCCAGAGGGCTGGTGGGATTCATCGATAGTAGTACCATGGCTTGGTCGTATTATCAGTATTCCTACGACCAGCATTATCAGTATTAGTATCGGTGGTGTTACTTGTAATACGACTACTAGTACTACTAATAGTATCATTAATACCGTGAATTAAAATATTGTTGTCGCTTCGCGAATCCCCACCAGCCCATCCAGAAACGATGCCCAGAGGAATTGCCTCGATCAGAGAAGTGGGCAGCACACAGAGGAAGCCATTATGAGACATCTTGGGATATCTTGAGCCATCTTGGAGGTCATTTTGGGCTCTCCCAGACGCTCTTGGAGTCATCTTAATCCGTGCCCCCCCCCAAGAGGCCTCCATGTGGCTAAAACCTGTGTAGAATCAATGATTAGGCATTCTCGCCGAGGCCTCTTGGAGCATCTTGGGTGCATCTGGGGGGGCTCTTGGGGCCTCTTGGGGGTCTCTTGGGGGCCTCCGGGGGGCCTCTTGGGGGCCTCTTGGGGCCATTTTGGGGCCATCTTGGGACCTCTTGGGGCTTCCTGGGCGCTTCTTGGGGCCATCTTGGAGGAGATCGATCAAACAAGAGGGGGGGGTTAATTAGCGTCCCCCCTCGGAAGCCCCTAAAATCGCCTCTTGGACCCCTCTTGGAACGCTCTTGGAGTGCTCTTGGGCGCTCTTGGGGCCGTCTTGGGGCTCTTTTGGGGCTCTCTTGGGGCCCTCTTGGGCCATCTTGGAACCATCTCCAGGCCTCGGATGGCCATCGGAAGCGAAAAGGCGAGAAAGCAAAAATCATTGATTTTCCTTAGGTTTTGGGACGATTTTGGCCTCTTCGGGGCCTCCTTGGGGAGCTGTTTGGCCACTTGGAGTTATCTTGGGGCCGTCTTTGGGCTTCTTGGAACCATCTTAGGAGCCATCTCGAGCGATCTTGCGCTATCTTGAGCCATCTTGGAGCTCATCTTGGGTTCTCTGAGGCGCTCTTGGAGCCGTCTTGGGCCATCTGGGACGCTCTAACTACCAGCGGCCCCCCCCGTCCAGGTCCAGGGGAGGGGGTAGGGGGAGGGGTAAACCCCTCCCCAAGGGGGAAGAGGGAGGGGTGGAAGAGGATCTGCTCTAGACCACCTACGCCCAGAGGGCTGGTGGGATTAGCATGGTTGCTGATAGTCCCACCAGCCCTCTGGGCGTAGGTGGTCTAGAGCAGATCCTCTTCCACCCCTCCCTCTTCCCCCTTGGGGAGGGGTTTACCCCTCCCCCTACCCCCTCCCCTGGACCTGGACGGGGGGGGCCGCGGGTAGTTAGAGCGTCCCAGATGGCCCAAGACGGCTCCAAGAGCGCCTCAGAGAACCCAAGATGAGCTCCAAGATGGCTCAAGATAGCGCAAGATCGCTCGAGATGGCTCCTAAGATGGTTCCAAGAAGCCCAAAGACGGCCCCAAGATAACTCCAAGTGGCCAAACAGCTCCCCAAGGAGGCCCCGAAGAGGCCAAAATCGTCCCAAAACCTAAGGAAAATCAATGATTTTTGCTTTCTCGCCTTTTCGCTTCCGATGGCCATCCGAGGCCTGGAGATGGTTCCAAGATGGCCCAAGAGGGCCCCAAGAGAGCCCCAAAAGAGCCCCAAGACGGCCCCAAGAGCGCCCAAGAGCACTCCAAGAGCGTTCCAAGAGGGGTCCAAGAGGCGATTTTAGGGGCTTCCGAGGGGGGACGCTAATTAAACCCCCCCTCTTGTTTGATCGATCTCCTCCAAGATGGCCCCAAGAAGCGCCCAGGAAGCCCCAAGAGGTCCCAAGATGGCCCCAAAATGGCCCCAAGAGGCCCCCAAGAGGCCCCCCGGAGGCCCCCAAGAGACCCCCAAGAGGCCCCAAGAGCCCCCCCAGATGCACCCAAGATGCTCCAAGAGGCCTCGGCGAGAATGCCTAATCATTGATTCTACACAGGTTTTAGCCACATGGAGGCCTCTTGGGGGGGGGCACGGATTAAGATGACTCCAAGAGCGTCTGGGAGAGCCCAAAATGACCTCCAAGATGGCTCAAGATATCCCAAGATGTCTCATAATGGCTTCCTCTGTGTGCTGCCCACTTCTCTGATCGAGGCAATTCCTCTGGGCATCGTTTCTGGATGGGCTGGTGGGGATTCGCGAAGCGACAACAATTTTGAAATTACTAGTGTTGAATATATTCTCCGTACATCAATGAATCTACTCTTGATACCATTACTCAGCTTAATATGTGTACTCTTATGACTCTAACTAGTTCCCTCTCCAAATGAGGATGTTCGTTATTACTTCGACCGCTCCGAACTCCGTCCTCCTGCCTCCTCTGCATTATCATGTTATGTATTGTTATTCCCCATATCCTAAGATGGGGTTATTGTTATTACTTGGACGCCTCCTACTCCCTCTTCTTATCCCCCCCTCCTCTCGGGATTACTTATACTCAGACTTACTCATACCCATACCTCTACACAGACATACTTATACTCAGACCTACTCGTACTCAGACTTACTCATACCCAGACGTACACATACACAGACTTACTCATACACAGGTTTACTCATATCCATACTTACTCA